AGCCTTGAACATGTAAATTAATCTAGTATAAAACACAATTCGTAAGTCAATACTTTTGCATTATAAATCATATAACTTTTAGTGTTCGAATTCTTAAATTCAATTTCGTAAATCGTTTATAAATATAAATTAATGTCCACATTTTTTTAAATATATTTTTCTGAAGAAGTAATAGTACTATCGTAATTAGTACTATTAGAGTACACCCAACCATCATTGGGTGTTGTTGCAATCTTACTCTGCTCTAATACAAGTATTTTTTGAATTTAGCAACTAATGATGAATAATTTTTGATCATTTAGGTAACCTGATTTAACATACCTCAGATTTAAAGATAATACTTAAATTGATTGTTAATATGGATGTTAAGAATTACTAATATGTTTTTAAATCTTTTAGATCTGGTTTAATGAGCATTTAATGTTATAATTACATATGTTTTGGATCTAAAAGAGTATGGCTTCCAAAACATTGCTATTATTAGAATGTTTGTATTAGTTCCAACCTATGAGTTTTACGTATGTGTTTTAAATTTTGCCGGGCTTTAGGTCGTGCTATTATTACAATAATAAAAAATTATTTTATGATCATTTCCGGCATATAATAATAATAAAAAAAAACAGCTATTTACCATTTATACAATTTTATTTTTTTGAAACTATTCTCATTTATGATCTATACAATTTTGTATCCCTTCTAACGATTTGTCATAACGTTTTTTTAATGCATTCAAATCACTTGCCAAATATGGTTTTTGAAAGCATGAACGGATTCCTTAACCAACCAAAATTCATTGCATACTAAATCAGAATTATATGACGGATGCACATTAATTCAAAGTTTTGAGTGCTCAGTCACTCGTTTATGCCGAAATATGACAACTAAAACGTGGTGAGAAATTATATGTTAACTCTTTTAATGGCAAAGTTACCCCAGTTTTTCTGCAAAAACAGATGGTCTGTTAGTGTGCTTTAAATGAAAACAACATTTGGTGTATTTTGTTCATCATAAACCACCAATATTATTAGCTTCTATATAATTCCAGAATAATTTTTTGCACCAATCGACACAAAATTTTTCAAATTATGTGAAATCAAAAAGGACTATAGACTAGACTATATATATGTCTATAGTTTACTTAATATTGCTAGACGATTTTATATTCATAAACATGATGATATTCATGTTTTCTAGCATCAACGTTTCACTGTTGCAAAGGATACAGCTTTATCGCTGTTCAAATATGAACATTTATTTAATGTCGCCACAATATATGTCATCGTAGTTTATTTAGGCACATATGTCGTAGAAAATGTATATAAACGGATAAATAATTGAAATAAACCAGTACCTTATAACTACTCATATAGTGCGTTTTATTCAAGAAGTACACTTATTTATAGTCCATTTAGCCTTAAAATATTAATAGTGGCAGTTCAAAAAGAACTCATTTAAATATATAAAATTATTTTAATAAACAAAAACAAAATCCTAAGTTTTCCTCCACCAGTAGTAAGAGACTTAAAAGGATATATATAATCTATTCTTCCAATAATTCTTGAAAGAAATAAAAATTTTTGCGGTCAACTGACAATATATACTGAATTTGGTAGTGATTAAAATTATCAAACTATTCTGCAGAAATGTCGATTGGTGACTAAAAGTACTTTATATATATAGTATCATATATGGTACCATTATGTATATAGCTAATATATATAGCCTTCATACACTATATATAAGTATATCAATTTTCTTAGTTTGGCAACATACTAGGATTTTTACCCTTATATCATTTATACAACTATAATTTTATATTAGTGACATTTTAAATAAAAATAAAATTTTTATATATTTATCATAACAAACATAGCCACAACGCTCTGCATGGTAACGTATTCGGAATACGTATTTAATACATTACTTCCAATATTTCTTATCAAGTACGAGAACATACTATATAACATATATAAGATATAACACAATACATCATCATATTTTTTTACATCCATTTTTTAATATGTATGTTATTATATATTAATATTTTAATCTCGTTTAAGAACTTCCTTTCATTATTAATTTTAATTCTATTAAATTATAAGTCTCCATGGTTGGTTTGGTTGGCCTCAAACCTTTCACTTTTGCCCAAATAGTACATAGGGGCCATTTTGTTACCATACTACCGAATATGAGTTTCTACGGATTAATATCAACCGCTGTAATGGGTGAAGTAAACGATTTTGGGAAGGTCTATATTTAAGATATCCGCCGGACTTTGTCTTAAAAGCTCTGGGGATTTACAAAGAGCTTTTTCTATTTGACCTTACCTTGCAGTTGTTGGAGGTGATCCAATTTTTCGAGATTGAATCCCTTTTATATGAACTTACAGCTTCTATATTCTTAGCTGAAGGTAATGCAATTTTTCGATATAGGTGCCTACTGTTTTTCTTAAATTTTTATATTAATATTTTTTAATATTTATTAATATTAATACTTTTAATTAAATATTTTTGTTAATGCTCTTAATGTCTGTACATAACTTGTCACTTCCTAGTTATTTTCAAACTTTATTAAAATTAATAATTAAAAACATTAATAAAAGTTTTTATTAATACCTCTAATATTTAGAAATTCCCATATAGTTTTAAAATTTAAGTAATGGTTTATACATATTTATTTTCATTATTTATTATATGTATTTATGTTAAAGACATTTGCTGATGCTAAAGCAGATAATTACCTTTCTTTTTTTTAAACTTACTTTAGCCCTAGTAATTAGTATACCAACGGTGTGGTCTGTACTCCTCTATTTAAAAAAATAACCATAATTACGTCACTTCTACTGTATTCATAGGGCAGTATGAATATGGGCTTGGTTTCTTAATTAAGATCGCTCTATGAACCTTAAAGCTTTTAACTAAATAAATTGATTTTCATGTGGACCCAACATGACCTTGTCTATTCAGACTTTCATTTGCAACTTCACAGATGTTAACAAAAAAAATTTTAACATTTTTAACTTTGCAAATTTCTTATAGTCTCATCTTCTGCAGAATTGTGTAATACTTACTAGTTAATTATACAGTCTTGCTCCACTTTAACACCTCATATTTTAATGACGCCTGCCTGGCATTCCCAAATCCACAACCAAACACAATACCGAAAAAAGAATGGCCAATTTCGCACCAATGTTACCAACACATTTCCGGGCGAATCTCATTATCAACTCAACTATGTACACAAACGGAACAACAACAAAATCCCAATTTGCAATTCAAATTTCTATGAAGTAATGGAAAATGCAGGTTTGTTTTTATTACAACATTTGTAATATTAGATAAATATTTCATTATTGGCACAAATGAAATCATTGTGCAGCATCAATCGAAAACAAAAGATTAAAATTAAATACAAATCAAAAAATAAAAAATAAATTTCAAATAAAAACAATAACAAAAAAGGTACAAACTTGAACAAACTTATGAATAAACAAATCGAAATGAAACAACAACAATAATAAAAAACAAATTATAAATTAAAATAAAAAAGTAATCAAAATGAATTATGTGAAGATACATAATCAGGCCACAAACGTAATATGAGGCCGTCTACCAATTAAAGACTAACAAGTCCCCATGGGAAAAAAATTCGTTTCGAAATGTATGTTAAGAGGCTTTGGAACGCTATGATTATTAAAACTAATCAGTTCTGCATCTATTAACGATGCAACACTCGCTGTCATTGCGATTGCATGTTAATTACGGAAATGAACTTTACCGCCAGCAGGTCGAAGACGGGTTGAGCGTGGCCTTCTTGGCGGCAAGTAGGCGTTATTAGCTCTTGTTGGAACATTTGCTTCTTGCAAGCTTACATCCTTCTGATCGTTAAAAATTTTAACTGTCTGTATATGATTTTCGGCACCATTGTGTGAGCTTTTGCTGACTACTTTTACAATGCGGTGATCACCCATAGGTGTTTCCTTGCTGACCCCAAGAATTTTAATGGTTTTTACTCCCGCATTATCTGAAGTTTCAAGTACCTTCAATGTTTTTACTTGACTGGAATTAAGAATCTGTACTGTACGGACTTTACCTCTTCCGTGTTGTGAGACGGACGCAGATTTAACTGGCAACAAAACTGTTTTTTGTACCAATGGCCTTGAGACAGCAGCTGCAGAAGAATGTTGGCGTACATCATATGGCATCAACTGTCGTAAAGATTGTTGTGCTCTATTATTAAGTTGCTGGTTAGCAATTTGGCTAACAGATTGATGCGTTTGAGCTACTGTGTTAGTTGCATATGACATTGAAGGCGCATAATATTGTGGGCGTGTTGTGGGCTCACGATACATGGGTGCTACTTCTATGGGCTGTTGTACTTGCAAAGAAGTCGGTGGTCCATATTTAGCAAAAGGCATTCTGGGTTGTGTGAACTGAGCAGCACCATATCGTTGGTAAGGTTGCACAGCTATCATATAACTGCTCAAGCTATGTATTTGTGAATTGGAAGCTGGAACTGCCGATACTGATGCTGGCGGTGAGTTTTTATAAGGTGGCAAATAATCTGGACCTTTGAAGCGTCGACCTGAGACTGTAGTCGATATATGTTGTTGTGTCTGCAATTTGTATTGTGGTGGTTGCACTTGTCTTTGCTGTTGCGCACTTACCAAATTATTAAAAATGTTGCGCACATTGTATAGTGAAGGTTGTTGTACTGATACCGCCGGACTTTGATACGCGGATTGTGTTGAGGCAGTTGAAACTGCAGCTCCAGAATTGGTATGTGGTGGCAAATAACCATTTGCTTGATATGCCGACGTACTAACTCCAACAGCGCGTTGTTGCTGATGTTGTAGAGTGCTTGAATAGTGAGCTTGTGGTTGAACATGGTTCTGTACGTTCTGTTCTGGCTCATGTTCATCTGGTAGAGTGTGCAACTCTGCAATAGCAGCTTCAGCATTATTTGGTTTCACAAAATCATAACCTAGTGGTAGTGTAGCTGGTGGTGCTGCAGGTGCTTCAGCAAACTGAGTTGAGGCATGCGATGAAATGGCCTGTTGTTGTATATTTTGTATTTGTTTCTGTTCGGGATTATCGAAATCATAACCAGGAGGCAAATACCCTGAAGCTGTTGTTGCTGGAGCAACACTGTGTTGAGTACGTTGCTCACCATTGTAATTTTGTTGTGATGCACTCGTTGTTGATACATGTGGTGGCAAGTAATCAGGAGCACGATAAGCAGTATTCACCTGTGCGATATTTTGTATTGATGAGACGTGATTATGCTGTTGATGTTGAACATGTTCTGTATGTGGAGGCAAATAGCTGGGTCCTTTAAAATGAGCTGAAGCAATATTTTGTTGATGTTGTACTGTATGTTGCACTTGTTGCTGATAGTTTTGTTGTTGACCATGTGATAATTGCTGTTGAGCAATCGCTGTATGTGGTGGTAAATATCCAGGCGCTCTATATGCCTGTGCAGTTGGTTGGCCTACAACGGCTTGTGGTGCATGTGCATGTTGTTGAACGCCTACTATGGACGATTCTTTATTAGGCGGTAAATAGTCAGGAGCTTTGAAATGTGTTTGCTGTGTAACCACTGCATGCTGATCATGTTGATGAGTTTGAACTTGACTTTGTTGTTGGTTTTGTTGATGTACTACTTGTTCTTGATGCGGTGGTAAATAACCCGGTGTTTGCTGGGAAGATACTATGTGCTCATGATGTTGGTGTTGAACTTGGTTTTGTTGTTGGTGTTGATGTTGATGATGATGATGGTGATGTACTACTTTCTCCTGATATGGTGCCAAATAACCTGGTGTTTGCTGGCTGCTCACTGTGTGCTGTTGATGTAATTGCTGGTGTACTACTTGTTCCTGATGTGGTGGTAAATAACCTGATGCTTGCTGGCTACTCACTATCTGCTCGTGATGATGTTGTTGTACTCGTCCTTGTTGCTGATGCACTGCTTGCTCTTGATGTGGTGGCAAATAATCTGGTGCTTGAAAATGATCACCACCTTGATTGTAATTTTCGTTATGCACCTGTGCATTCACTGATGTGCCCTGATAGGGAGGCAAGTAGCCTGCTTCTTCATAAGTTTCTTCCACATTCAAATTATTAGCTTCATTTTCATTCTTTTGAAAATCATGTTTATAATTTGAGGGAAATGGTACTGGTATATTCGGTTCCGGAAGCGATACTGGCGCTGGTGAGGCAACTGGAGCTGAAACTGAAACTTGACTTGAAACTGGTATGGAAGCTAAAACTGGTGCTTCGTGGTGAATATCAGGTGTATTTTCTATAATCGTTATTTGTTCGCCATCCGTCACTTGACCTGCAGCCAAGCCCAAAAATGAAACATCTAAATGATCATCAGCTAAATGATCATCAGCTAAATGATCACCTTGATGTATATGTTGTATGTGTATCTCTTGAGCTGGTGGTAAATATTCACGTGAACCTAAGTCATTGTTACTTTCACCTGATGATCCCGTATAATGATTGTGTACTTCAAACACCTGATATTGTGAATGACCAAAATTAGTGTTATCGTAATTTTGATTAATTGACACTTCCTGCGCAGATGGTGGTAAATACTCTCGTTGACTATTTGCAAAATTTTTTCCTTTACCACCGCGTAACGTTAATGAGATATCAGCTAATCCATTTTGTATTAACAATCCAAACAAAAGTAATCCAATTAACTGATGAAAGTACTGAGGATTAGAAAAAAATAATTTTTTCTAATGTTAATCCATAGCTGCTGATATACTCCAATTTTTATAAAATCACTTACCCTCATTTTTATGTTGGTCGTACTTAATCCACTGGTGTCCAACAAGATAATGATGCATCTTACAAGTCTTCGCGCACATTTTATACCCAGTTAAAAATAAAAACAATTTAATTTTATGCTGCTGATTCACACATTTCTTTTTGGTTTCTTTGGCTAATTTGTTGGTATAGTAGACGAGGCGGTAACGTAGTATTCCAACTAATTTGTTTGTTTGATTTTATGTATCCACTGTAATCAATCAGTTCGTTGGTAAAACAAAACTTTTAACGCATGCAGATTATTACCAAAATTTTTTTACTGCCTCCAATCAATTAAACCACACAACAGATGTAACAAAAAAAATGTTGAATATTTGTAATATTTGTATTTCAGCATAAATAGTATATAATTAAATAAATCAATATACATAAATTAAAGATTTGAAAATAAAAAAAAATATTGCAAAAAAAAAAATATTTTATTTATCGTTATAAAAAAATATAAAAAATTACATATATTTTTATAGCATTATAGCATTTTAACGATTAAAAAATATTATGGATTTCCACGATATTAAATAGAAAAAAATTTCATTTGGATAGTTTATAGATCAGCAGGAGTCTCTACTTTAACAAATTTTAAAAATAAAATGTTTTATCTCATATATACGTATATATATATTATATATTCCTAACTAGTATATCTCATACACAAAACTTTTCTCATTGATCAAACCTGAGTTGTAAACACATACTTTCACATAGTTTCGTATTATTTATGCTGACATAATAGTTCTTTGTATTGTATTATTGTATAATATAATAGTTATTATACTGTTATTATTGTATTTCCTTACTTGCTGTTATTCAAATTTTTTTTTTCTTATTTTCATTGCCTCGATATATTTTTAATTCTTAATTGCAACCGACAAGACTATCTTCTCTTAATTTATTGATGAATTGTTTTATTCATCTAAAAATTCTAATGTAGACATCAACTAATATAAAAAAAAAACAAAAGTATTGATTAGACCATTGAATACGTTTGATATGATAAATAACAGACGAGCTATATTTAAAACAAAATTTTAACATACCAAGACCTTAAATAGTGTCTTAAAAGATGATAGAAGTGTCGTTGCCAGAATTTTTCAAAATATTTTGTTACGGTTTTAGGCAGAGGAAATAAATGTAAGAAGGAGAAGAACTGGAGTAAGTTATTACAAGAGAAATCAAGCAAATTTAGGTAGTAAATGGTACACCCAAATACCAACTCATAGCACTAAAATTTGCAGATTATTTAGGCGCTGCAAATGGAAACTAGTTGTTTTAAGGCACTAATATTAGATCGGGAAACGACTTTGTCTTTATCTTTTGATGAGTGTCGAGCAGTGACAGAACAGTTGAGAAATACGTTCCTTTTTCTCCTTAAGCTTACAGGTACGACCATGGTCATGTGTAGAACCTTCTATTCAATCGGCCAAATAACGAAAATTTTAAATAGGCAGTCGGTGTACAATGTAATTCCTTTATGGTATTACAATGACCCGAAATAAACTTCAAGGTTTAAGTCAGTGTTATTTAACGTAAGCATACGTCTCTAAATTATAAGTAATTTTACAGACATTATAAACTTTAAAACAACGATGATAAGTAAATTTTGTCATTTACATACTTACTTCTTTTTATTAATGAGAAAGGTGAAGGGGAAGGTGGAGGATACTTAGAGTTCATCTTTTGTTGTTTGAAAATGAATAAATTTTATGACCGATTTGCTTACATTTCCGAACACTCATTGTGTTGTTACTCAGAAGGCATCAGAAAAACAATGGTCTAAATCAGGGCTGTCCAAAACAAGGCACATGGGCTATTTGCCCCGACGCAAATTACGTTAATTTTCTTTCTGTAACTTTCTCACTTCATTTTCTCCAACGATTTTTATCACTTTTGACAAACACTTCGAGTTACTAATTGTCAAAAGTTACATAAACGAACCCCTGGTCTGGACATCCTGATCTAAATAATACTTCTTTATTATAGAACGTTACAGTTTTTAAGATATATAAGAGGTTTCTTATTGTTTTAAGTAGAATAGATAAAAAAGCGGATGAATATACAAGTCAATTTAAGTATAAAGTAGTATTATATTTCAACATATATGAGTGAGTATATAATAAAAATATATATAATAAGCCTTGCTCGAAGTCAATGATTTCGAGTAGTCTGTTATACTGGGCATAGACTGTCCATAACTCAGTTTCACTTTTCGCGCCATAACGCTACGTCCTTTATATCAGTAATGTTGCTTATTCTTCTTTATAAGGGCTGCAAAACGGTATTTATTTCATTTAACGTTGATTTTCTTCATGTTGTTTTTGGACGACCTCTTCCTCTACTACATTGCGGGTTGTATACCAACACCTATTGACAAATTTCAGTAGCAGCCTTTTGAAGTGCATGCCCGATCCATTCAAATTTTCTTTTGCGAATTTCAAGATTGATATCTCTTATATTTGTTCTGGTCCAAAGGTGTTGATTTGATATTCTGTTTGGCCAGAAAATACACAAAATTCTGCGAAGACATCGGTTGACAAACACTTTCAGCTTGCTTTGTATGTTTACCGTAACGGATGCTTTAAAAATTTTTATCTTGTAAAAGCACCGAGGAGTTTTTTTATTATATTTATCACATCTTGCGCTGTAACTCCATTTTCAGACACAATACTCCCTAGATACTGAAATTCATTTACGCGTTCAATGGTCTCCCTTTCCAATTTCAAAGATTCGTCAATTCGATTGTTTATTCTGACTTCTTTTGTTTTCTGTGCATTGATTTTCAGTCCGACTTTGCAGGACTCTTAAGACAAGTCATTAAGTCTCTACTGCATATGTATATATTTATATGAATATCATTAAATCAAAAGAGTAAAATATATGTAATGTATTTCCCATTAGTTCCTGTCAATATTAACTAAATAAATCCTGTTTTTATTTAGTAGTTAATAAATAAACTTTTACAATCAGTTCAGTACTGTACTATGAAGTTAGCTTATTTTTAAGTTAAAAATAGAAATTAAAAGAAATCAAAAAGATTTGTATAAAATAGACTTTAATAAAGTGATTTATGTCTATCATATATCACTGCTGTTAAGTAATCCAAGCATTTCACTCTCAAATAAATTAATTTAATCGCTTCTGCACAGCTTTGTCGCTTTTATTGTAAATGAAATTAATTCGCTATTAATACTGTTTAAAAGCTATAAACCTAATTGAATCTATGGAGACCGTTTTGCAAAAAAAAAATACATTTGTTTAAATAAAAGCAAAAATTATTATTCATAAGTATTATACATACATACATGAAATGGGGAATATATGTATATTGGAATAATATAAAGAAATTGACAAAGATTTAAAATTTGCATGTCAATTCGTAAATAATCAAATCAACATGTGCAACAATTTGGCCAGCAGCTAAAATTGCCAAAATCAGTTGAAACAAATTAAAAACGAGGGAAGCCAATCAAATCAGATACATTTGTAATTTTATTACAAAAACAAAAGCGTACATATTTGTGAATTTATGATCGCCGCAAAAGCGCCTTAGAGCAAACTAATTGCATAGATTCGTTACCAACAAGGCATTAACGTTTTCAGCTTCAAATATGATATTCATATGATATTCGATATGATATTCATATGTAAAATATAAAAAAAATATTTCAAATTAATAATAAACTTTATGTTAATTTTGACTTTTTCATACATTTTATTACCATATTTATATGCTTTTTATATATTTATATAAAATTGTTTTAAAAAAAATTGTGCAAATTAATGAAATTTATTGCTTTTTAATAGTTTTAGGTTGATTGTTTATTTAACAAGTTATTAGCGTGTGTTTATTATATACAAAATATAATTATATTTAAACTATATTCTCCGTGTTTCCATCTAGAGAGGTATGGACGTCAGGTGGCCCCTTCTTAGATGAGGGCGTAACCATCTTCACTGACGGATCCAAAACAAGTAGTGGTGTAGGTAGTGGAGTTTTCTCAGAGGAATTGAACAAATCTTCCTTCTTTAGGCTTCCAGATCATTGTAGTGTCTTTCAGGCGAAAGTGGTCGCCATCAGGGAAGCTATAGCTTGTTTGAATGTAGATGATATATTTGGCAGGAATATATACATACTATCAGACAGTCAAGCTGCATTAAAGTCCTTGAGTTCGGTCCAATTTACATCTAGGACGGTTCTTGACTGCTACACATCTCTAAACGAAATGTCGACGCAGCTCAATATTTCTCTAATCTGGGTTCCCGGCCATAGGGATATTTTCGGTAATTGCAAAGCAGACGAGTTAGCCAGAAAGGGTGCTTCAGAACCATACTCGGAGCACCTAGACTATCTGGGCATATCGCTAACATCATGTAAACTGATATTGAGTTCTTTCTGCGCTAATACTTTTAATAAAAGATGGGAAGACTCAACGATATGTAGACATCTGTATGCAATCTGGCCACTTTCCGATGAAAGGAAATCGAAAACTCTCATTGAGATGTCCCGCAAGGACATTAGTCTTCTGGTAGGGTTGATTACAGGGCACTGTAAGCTAGGGAACCATGCTAGAAGACTAGGTCTTCCTTTCAACCAAATCTGTCGTAGCTGTGGGGAGGACGATGAGAGCGCATCTCATCTGTTGTGTTTTTGTCCAGCTCTTGCACGTCGGCGATTTAGTACTCTAGGGGCCCCCTTCCTTGAGGACCTGGACCAGTTACAGGATCGGGCTTTAAATAGCATTTTATGCTTCGCAAAAGGTTCTAGGTGGTTTTAAACCCTGAGGTTTCTTTTACTTTCTTTTAGTATTTATATACGGCATCACAATGGGCCAATAGGCCTAAGTGGATCCACTAGGGATCACCGGTATAACCTAACCTAACCTAACTATATTCTCAGAATCAATAGGAATTTTTTGCAATATTAAGTAATTATTTCTTTTAATTTTTTTCTTATTTTTTTGTGCACACACC